GGAGGGGGAGACGAACCATGAGAGACTATGGACTCTGAGAAACAAACTGAGGGTTCTAGAGAGGAGGGGGTGGGAGGATGGGTTAGCCTGGTGATGGGTATTAAAGAGGGCTTGTACTGCATGGAGCACTGGGTGTTATACACAAAGAATGAGTCATGGAACACTACATCAAAAACTAATGATGTAATGTATGGTGATTAACATAACATAATAAAATTTTAAAACAGTGAAATTTAAAAAAAAAAGAAACCTTAGGCTATTTTCCACAGTTCCCACAGTTGATTCTGACAATTTTTACTCATTATTTTCAGTTTTTCTGTGGAGGGACAGTCCTTCAGAGCTACCTATCTCAGCATGTTTACCGATACCACTCTCAGCAATTACTTTTTATTTTTATTTTTTTTTAAGATTTTATTCATTTATTTGAGAGAGAGAATGAGAGGGAGAGAGAGAGAGAGAGCACAAGAGGGGGGAGCAGGAGAGGGAGAAGCAGACTCCCCGCTGAGCAGGGAGCCTGATGCGGGACTCGATCCCAGGACTCCAGGATCATGACCTGAGCCGAAGGCAGTCACTCAACCAACTTGAGCCACCCAGGCGCCCTCAGCAATTACTTTTTAAAGTATTTCATAATGTCCCTTTAATATTCTGAAATAAAATGTATAGGTAATATAACTTAATTCATTTAGAAGTCTTAAAAAATCAATGTAATGCATAAATTGTAATATAAAGAAGTAAGAGGAAGTAATTTTTAAAATGTAGTAGTTATTTTAGTATGTAAGTGTGTATGACATTGGAAGGCATGATGAAGTAGTGATAGTTTATACCTATTTAAATAAGTTGGATTTAACAGATGTAAGAGGGGGGCGCCTGGATGGCTCAGTCATTAAGCGTCTCCCTTCGGCTCAGGTCATGATCCCAGGGTCCTGGGATTGAGCCCCGCATCAGGCTCCCTGCTCAGCAAGAAGCCTGCTTCTCCCTCTCCCACTCCCCCTGCTTGTGTTCCCTCTCTTGCTGTGTCTCTCTCTGTCAAAGAAATAAAATCTTAAAAAAAAAAAAAAGATGTAAGAGGATCAGATTCCATTTTGTACAAATGCTAATAAATGAAAGACTAAAATGTAGTCATAAAGACTAGACTTTAAATGCACAAGAAATGAAAGAAATCACTTTAGGAGAAGTCAAGATAGAACACCAATACAAATATAGACTAAAGAGGTGAAGGAAAGGAGAAAATATAATATTCTTATAAATGTGCTGGGCCTTATTTGAAACATAATTATTTAGTAAATAGTGAGCAACTACAGAGAACATATTTTTTTTTTT